TCTCTTTTCGATCCTGTCCCCACTGTTTTCCTTGTTTTTATTTCGTCTTCTGATATTCACCTCTTACATCATCTGATTGACATTGACATATTTTCTGATTGACATCATGAGTCGATCAGTGTTAGACTACCATTGAGCATCTGGAAGCACTGGACGGCCGTTCCGTCCTAGTATGAAACTTCTCAGTAGTGCACATCCACGACCATGCACACGAGATTAGAACCCAGGACTTTCAGTCACATATGCATCTAACTTCAAATAATACAACACATATTTGTTTATTTTATCATGTTTAGCGATTACCTAATCACTTATTAACTTCATACTTTTACATAACTTCTGAATTATTGCTTCCCAACATAAATATACCTCGATCTTAAATATATTTGTTCACATAATTTGTATTTCCATTTTTATCACTATTGTTATGATTTTGGTTACGTTTCATAAATGTATGCCAAACATCTGTTAATAACTATGTTAATAATTGTAATTTTAGGTTTTAGGTGATGAGGAACTGTGAAACAAAATGAATTCATTTTGTTCTTCAAGCCCTGTTGTTCTTGTTCTGTTTAGACAGAAAGAACTCTATAAGATTATTCATGTCATGGATCAATCTTGATACTTCGAGTGAAAGACGGGGAGTAATCTTGATATATGTTTATGGTACTTCACATGGAGTCTTACAGTACCCTTCTGGTATGCTACATACGTTCAAACTTATGAACTGATTACATCTACTTTCTTACGAAAAATGTAGTTGTCATATATGGCTATTAGTCAGAATTTTATAAAGAAATCGCTAATTGACCCATCAATAGGGTACGCTATTGACATAAATAAAACGAAGAATATTCAGTCATAAATATACTAGCTAATGAAACCTGCGTCAGTTGATCTAATAAAATTCCACAAATTTTGTTGCCATATAGTGTTTGTGAACTGTATGCAAGGAATAGAAGTAGTGTTGATTTCTTAAATATAAAGAAATGATCATTAGATCATATTTTATTAATAGATGGGGAATATTCATTGTAATAAGCTTTATTCGCTGGTGGAGGTAAGAAGGTAGTTGTTTTAAAATATCCATATATATCTTAAGCTGTTAATGTATGAATTATATTAAGTGATTATTCATTTTCTTTTTATATTCAGCTTGTCAAATGTCCTGTATGTTGTCGATCAGCCTATTGTGAAGACACCGTTATATGTTGCTTCTTATGTAATTTCCGATCGAAAGCTTTACTTCAAGAGGAATAGAATAAATACTTTGTTTCTTTATAATGGTACTATATATATACTTCTACTTGAAAACAAATAAATTCACAAATGGATCTTTATTTTTATTTTTTGGTAAAAAAATTTCATAGAGAGAAATTTTTTAAGATGATCATTTACTTCAGTTGTAGAGCTGTTCTTATATTTCTTTAACATTTATAGTAGTGTATTAGAACATAATAAAGGATCGCGTTATCAGACTGTTTGAAGATATCGAATATTAAAGGTAGGCTGTATTATAATCTAAAGGTTAATGAAAAATAATAAGATGAAGATAGTTCATAAATAAACGATAATTATACAGTTGGTGAATATAAAAATGACAAAGAAAATAAAAATAAAATGTAATAACACGTAATCGGTAATCAGGCAAACTATAAGAGAACAATAACAATTGATCATTAAATATAGAAGCAGAAAGGGGTTTAAGAACACAGTAAGATCGGTGATGAGCTGTGCACTTATATACACAGAGTTTGGACTTGAACAATTGATGCATGCGTTCTTAACTTGTATTCCTATCGATCTATCTGCTTGACCACGTGGATGACGTGTAAAGATAATCCTGGGAATGCGGTACGAATTTTCGGTGTTCTATAATGCAGGTGTTGATTGATAAAAGATGAGGCATAGCGAGATATTCATCAAACTCCTGCCATTATTAATCAGTAATCTCATACATCCGGTGCTTTTGACGCTTTTGAACGAAACAAACAGGACAATATTTACTGAATAAAACATACTCAGTCTGATTCGAGTCTTCTGAACAGCTCTGAAAGAAGAATAGGCATTTCAACAAAGAAACTTTTATTCTCGACGATTTCATTCACTTAAGCTGTACAATCGTATTTATAGTTAATTTTATTTTCTAAAATAGTAGTCTATAGTAGGATATGATGCTTCTAAATGGTTAAAAACTTGAAGGGGGTATCTTGTCTTGAATTTAAAATCAGACTTTGATAGGAAGTTATGTAATAACTGGCTAGTGAAAAAGTGGAAAGGTGAAGATAACTCTTCACTTGATAGCGATTAAGAACAGATTGATTAAAATTGTAATAGTTGCTAATTAGTATTTGAGAGGGTGTGGAAATAACAAAATAAGATAAAAAGCGATAGATTATGGAAGATAGAAAGGGAAGTTAAGATCATGGAAGAAGGACGGACTGAACACACTATATTTGAACACAAAGATTAGATTTAAACTGGTGGGTAGCAATGTCCGCTGTAGTACATGAGTTTTTCATATCCATTCCTATTGAGCCGACTCCCCCGACTGTACATATGATTTTGAAGGAAACTTCTGATGAAGTAGTTAGCAAAAAAACTGTCAGCATAGAGATGGGGTCACTACTCGACCCACTTCTAGCTTACTATTTGACAGTTAATTTCGAAAACACCATAGTTAGACCAAAAATCCACAGCTTCTATCAATACAAGGGATATTTGGATGACACTTTCATTATTTGTGGTAAAAAGTCAGTCACAATGCGTGCGAAAGCAGTATGTTCAGTCCGCCCTTCTTCCATGATCTTAACTTCCCTTTCTATCTTCCATAATCTATCGCTTTTTATCTTATTTTGTTATTTCCACACCCTCTCAAATACTAATTAGCAACTATTACAATTTTAATCAATCTGTTCTTAATCGCTATCAAGTGAAGAGTTATCTTCACCTTTCCACTTTTTCACTAGCCAGTTATTACATAACTTCCTATCAAAGTCTGATTTTAAATTCAAGACAAGATACCCCCTTCAAGTTTTTAACCATTTAGAAGCATCATATCCTACTATAGACTACTATTTTAGAAAATAAAATTAACTATAAATACGATTGTACAGCTTAAGTGAATGAAATCATCGAGAATAAAAGTTTCTTTGTTGAAATGCCTTATATCTTTTTCACTGACACAGCAGCTTTGAAAGAGCTTAATATTAAGAGTATTATAACTAAAATTGATGAACTGACATATTTTAATAAAAGAAGTTACAATGGAAGCCTAAATTGAGGCAGTGACTTATAAGAATGTGGTATTTTGTATGAAAAGTGGTAAATACTTAGATGTTAGTAAGGTATTATTAAAGCTGTTGTCTCTATTCTTCATGAGATCAAAGTGAAGAATTATCAATTTATCAGTACCAAGTATTTGTAACTTTGTACCTCGATTTTACATACTCAGTAAATGGTCATTAAAGAAGAATCCAGTGGTGATCGACGTAGTGTGGTTTAAATTGCAATGCAGAAATATATGAAAATCTTTTGTTAAGCTAGATGTCATGGACGAACATTATTAAAATAGGTTGGAAATCTTCATCTAGTGCTTTTATCGAGTTCTTGAAAGAGCGGACGTATGCGAATAATACCGGTTACGTGTCACTTGTTAATACAAGTTCATCTGGCCATAAAATTAAATAGCATGATGTTTTAAAAATATATTTTATAACAAAGCAAGTCTATTGTTACTAATACTAGTCGAGTCAAGAGATGTAGAATACAAAGCCTTTATGAACCGTTACGTTTTCTGTGTTCCTCAGAATACTTTTTAGATCAATGTCTTATCAGCTCCAAATAGGGCTCCAAATAGGATTATGTGACCTCCATTCAATAGACAAAATATAGCCAAAAATGACGGCGATGCTGTAAGGCACCGGACAAAATGATATTTTCAAATATTTCAACCTCTGTCTATAAACAACTTGAACGACAGTGTCTAATACAGATCAACAGGAATTTCAAAGGTGAATCTGAGTACGAGGCTAATGCACCACAAACATCGTCACCTTAACAAGGAAACAGCCTCCAGATTAAGCATTGCTCACTAAGTGACACTGAGAAAAGCATTTTAATCTTTAACAATACTCATTCATTTATTACCCTAACTTTCCCCCAACCAAGATGGGGTCCCAAACGAACAAAAGCTAGAACACACCACTCCGGCTTACAGAGGAGACCGACTGATTGATCTCCTAAATTATCAGCTGGTAAGTCAATTCTAAGTGCTCCTAGAGGCTTTAGAATCTTTGGTTTATAACGGTCTGTTATCTGTAAGTTTATTCTGAACCCGATTGTGTAGTTTAAGGACACCGATACTCCAGACTCACCAGTGCTACTACCCATAATTTCTTCTTATGTGCTGATTGCAAAGCCGTTGAAATAAAAAAACCAAGAGATATATTTGAAATAAAGCCATATGTACTGTAGCGGTAAATAAATACCCGAAATAAATAGCTCTGTAAGTTTTCGACATCGGATGATGACCAAATTAGTTTTAGTGGACTCACCTAACTGAAGGCGCTCGATCATGCATCTGCACCAGATCACGTGTGGGAACGCCGTGCTCAACTGCTACTGCAATCACTAGCTAGATTAGATCAGATAATTCCGCTATATTGGCAGTCGTCAAATACAACTTCTGATCTCCTCGATTCTGTCTTTTGATTTCTCTTGGTGTGTACGAGTTATATTAGAAGGTGTTACTGGTAAAAGCGTTGGCAAACACTGAATACCTGTGCCATCTTCAGTACCTTACTCTACGGAACCTTAGCTGATCAGTTCTATTAAGTTTGCACTATGTGGCATTTATATATGATCTGGTGCTGATGCTAGACTCCGAAGCTTAGGCTAGAGATGTTTCCATGAAAATTATTTAGGTCGGAATCAATGTCAAAGACTTATGCAGCTATAGGCGGGGGGTATATTTACTCTCACAACTTCATCATGAATATGTTAACTTAGGTGAATAACTGACCCGCTATCCTAGATCATAAGAGTAAGGTGGATGGAGTATGTGGTATATATTCAAACGTTTCCCCAAGAAATTCATGAAGAAACTTGACATCACATGGACTCAGAGTAGTATCTATTGCCATTTTATTATTAATTATTTTTTCAGACTTGCTTGGGGTCATCTGTGATAAATTGCTGCTCAACATGAAGTGTCGTTAAGTAATAGCTTTTGTTCCATCCACAACCATTTGACCATCTGTATTGTAAATTGGACATCGAACTGGCGTGTACTCAAAAGTTTGGGCTTTTTGTGGTTTTTTAGTGTGTTCGGAACGTTCACCGTGTATCAATATCACAGTTTACTTCTTGGTGGGAGTAAAGTTTGTTCATGACCATTAACTATTTTTAACCGAGTCAAACGATCTGTAAAAAAACCCAACAGAATTATGGTTAGTAGACAGTTTTAATACGAACAGTAGGCTTTTGTACATGAGTTATTTGGGTTCTAATCGTAAATTCAAACTAATTATAACGCAAAAATTAGTTTCACGCTGAAATCTGAATTTTATCTATGTAGTTTACTTTTGTCCATTTCTTCTCTGTTGGAGCCAATTTACTATGATGACCACTTGGGAAGATTGAACTATAGTCATAACCAGACAAATATTTGATGCTTCACGTATCTTCCTCATCGGGTTACAGACTTGTTCTACATAACATATAGTATCTTCCTCTAGTTCTGTGCATTGGTCTTGACAAACTCCGCCGAAAAAGTCGCTTTCTTTTGTTTAATAATGTTGATTTTCCGTGAAATACCTTCTCCGGGTTGATCTGCTTTTTTCTTGCACTACGTCTGGGAATACTCCCATGACGTCCTCGATGCACTTCCACCCAACACGTTGCCCTTTCATAGTCCATGTTTCACAGCTATAGAACTATACAATGCAAGCTGCTACACGCTATACTTGACCCACATCTAAAGAATAGGTATGTCTACCACAATATAGGCGTTACAAGTTAGCGAAGCCATTCTAGTCTTCTTAGTCTTTGCTAAGATTTCATCAGATGCCAGTCCCCTGATGCCTGATGTGACTTCCAATCTAAGGGGGTCGGTTGGCGCTTTTGACCGCCTCGTTCCCTGTGAGCAATTTAGGTACTGATACAAACTCGCTGTGCATTTAGAAACAGAGAAACACGTCAAAGTCCGTAAAACAATATTGTGCCATCTATTTATTCAAGATCGTTAAGTTTCTTTCATCGCACAGGATCAATCTGAAAAGCTATACTCTAATTGTACTTTCCAGAAGGATACCTGTGATATTTTTAAACAGAAATGGGGATAGTATCTAACATGAACTCATGTTCCATAAACAACCTACGTAATCAAGCGAAATACTAAGCTCAAGTCGTTTGTTTGTCAGGTAATAAGCACTAATATAAAATCCATCTTGGTACCTTGTGGTTTGAATCATGACTGTTTTGGCATCATTTGGTTTTAAAACAATTGCATACCCGACAAACGTAAGAAATTTAAGTTAGTTTTTCAAACCATTCCTCATATCCTGTCAAATGTCCAAATTAAAATATTTTTAAAACAAGCCACTAAAAAGGCGTTTAAATATTACCACAGATAATTAAGTTTTATTTCCTATACCCTAGGAAATTACTAAAAACTATCGAGTCCCTAGACGTATAATTAATCAAAGCAAAATTATTACAACCAAGGTTTAGGTAAAAAAAAACACATTCGTCTCAGATTGTTAAATAGGCTGTTGATCGTATCTTATAAAGCCTATAATTGTTAGAAATTTAAAATAGCTACTGACACCAGGGACTTTATCATTCTAGAGAGTAGTTGAGTATATCAAATACCTTATCTTACGTTGTTTGCCATTTCAAAACGCATTTATTGCTTCCTTCATGGTATATAATAATAGTTACAGATTTAGATCTTGCTATCAAGTCATTTACTTTTCCTTTTAGGTAACTTTGTAGAGTACCCAGTCGTCAATACTAACTTTGAAGTTGATCACCCAGATAGTTTTGGGATAGCTTAATTATCCATTTCTACTTTGCTTAACTTACTTTGGTTGCAAACTTTTTCTTCGTGATGTTTGCACGGCTACGTAATTGTGAACGTGTAATATCTGACGCATGCGTCATCAGTCAAAAAATACACACAGGAAACACGATTTGCAAGAACACTCGTGCTGGGGTGGTACGTCGAACTAGAGATCAGTCCCACCCCCTCACCTACGAGCAGGCAAAAAAGCCACATCAAATTGGTCTAATGAAGTCTTGGAATTCTTGGAATACTTCAAATTTGGAAGGAGAAGACCGTTACACTTCAGAAGTTACCCTTCATGACCAGTTCATTCGAACATTTATTAATGGAACCTTTCCTTTGTTGGTTCAAAGTGAAGTATGTTTATTTAGTTTTACACAATTATGCAATTTTTTCACACTGCCCCCTTATATTGGTGCCAAATCTGGTTTCGATGTATAACTTCGTTGAGTTCGTTTACGGAAATTCAGATTTTGAAAGTTCTGTCCATCTCAGATTGGAATGTAAAAATTCAGTAAAAAAGTAATCTGTTTTAGCCCATACTCTCGATTCTATACAGGATGTAACTCAGGAGCATTGGTTCCCGTGATAGTACATCAAGATTCAATCACTGAGTCAAAAACCTTGGATCGCCATTTTAAATATCGTTTGGTTTATGACACAGTGCTACCACCACTTGATGCGATCGGGCGACGCCCGTTTTCATTCTATAATTAACCAACTACACAGGTTACTTTCGGGACTTTTAGCTCTGTTAAATATCACGTGATTTACTGACCAATCAGCATACTACTTATACAATCTTAGCACTGTGCCAAACTAATGACGTCTTGATCGGTATGAGTGGCCTAGCGTCCTTATTGGACTTTTCCTGCCTAGCCTTGCCTGTCGGGTCCAGAACACTAATATCAGCTTCCACTATACGAATCATCTATTTCAAACCTACCTGGTTTATATACAAGCCAACCAGACCACATCACACTATAAAATAAAAATGACATTTGTACAAGATCAATCCAGTGAGTGGCTGTGATTGTGAGAGACTGTAATCAATAAACTTGGTATAAATTAAGAGTAGTAAATCGTGTAATAATATTCTATAGGTCAAACTAAAGCTTATAATAAGAGGAATATAAATATACATAATCTGGTTAGTTATATAAGAATATATATAGTTTAATCTTCACTAAGATATGTTACATCTCCCCGTTAAAAGTTCGCGACATCGATTTCTCATCATGTTACTAATGTCAAGTGACAAATGATTATGACTCAGCCATCAGTCTTGATGGCTGTAGGTTCGACTCTGTATGTAGTCAAGGTTACGTATCATTTGAGTTCCGAACTAGTGTGTAATAGCTTTTGACTGATCTCCCGTTTTTACATATTTTTCAAATGATTTCAGTCAGTGGTAAAAGTTATCTTCGAATTAACTAAACCCTCACAAACTATCTCAGTGAATATTTCCGCTAAACTGTCCGGATAATTATCTCAGCTAAAATCAGAGTTCTTTTTTACGACCAGTCCTTCTATGTATCGAAATAATGAAGTATTGTTACCCAACACTTTGAAATCCATAACATTTTGTCTCTTAGGTGTGAACGACTTAAAATATAAGGGAAGATCATAATAATAAGTTGTTTAATTGTGATGAGTCTTTACGTGACTACTACGGTTCAGTGATTTTTGAGGGTAGGTAATTCGAGAACTGATTACAGCATTTCACTGGTAGTTTGTGTCGTACATTTATGCGTCACATCCTATGTACCGCACATTTGATAATTAAAAACCCTGGAAGCATTTATTTTCATGATAAGATGTTATCGCCAAAAATCAATTCAAATCCAGGGCGTTCAGTCTCACGCGCAAACGAATCCCACGAGCGGGATCGTGGATGCGCACTGTTGAAGAGTTTCACAATAGGACGAGACGGCCGTCTAGTGCTTCCAGGTTTTCAATGGTGATCTAACATCAATCGGTTCATGATCTCGATCAAAAAACTTAATAATCTCCACAACCCTATACTGATAATTGACGTCTACATGAGGTAAAAAGCTTTTTTGGGTTGGTAACTGCCAATCCATTACGATTTCCAGGTTGGGTTCCCAAAGATCATGCGAAGCAGTAGCTTTAGGTGTTGTCAGATATGACATACTGAAAGGCAGCAGATATCTTTCTATAATTTTTAGTGGATTCATCATAAAACTTAAGTGAATTTCATTAATTTAAGGAAATCCATTTTGACTGTATTTCCAAATTAATTTTATGTATTATTAAACATTATTCTTATTTATTTATTAATAATATGACGTTTCTTTACTCTTCCGTAATATTTTTTATACTCATTTATATCGTGTGTTCTTTTATTCGATTGTTGTACTAAAATTTCTTGTGTTATTGACAAATAATAAAGTTTTATATTTATTGTTTTTCGGTGTAAATCACATTCATTTCTAACTACTTCATTTTCTACACACTCAAAAGGTTATTATCAAACGACAATGTAACGTAATACGTGTAGCTTTTTTACTATTAAAGCGAATATCTCCAGGAGAAACCAGTTTCCTCATCGGTTACACAGAAGAAATGCTTTCTCTTATACTTCGATGTGTTGTGAAACTAGAAGTACAATTAGTGCTATCCAAAAATGATGTTATATTTCGATATATTTAATCATAGAACTGAATTATTATTTATTATATTGTATTCATAAAAGTGATTTATATTGTACAGTGTATCATTATTATAGCCTTTAATATACTGTTTATTTAATTATAATCATTCTCGTTAAATTTCGACCAATCCAATAGTTTTCTGATAATTTTAAGGGTGATTCTCTCCCATAATTTGATATCACTGTTTAAAACAAATTCATAAAACTATTCAGAATGTTCGATAGGATTGTTTTATTCTGTCCTAGTAATTTTCTGTATCAGATGTTCACGAATACCAATGTTGTTACTTCTGGATTTAAGCTAGCTCTAAGCTCGATTGAGTTTACAATATCCTTCATGTTTTTGCTTCTGAAAATACTGAGGTCAGAAAGGAAATTTTGTTCGATTTTCAAGAATGATTGATCAGCAAGCATAAAATTGCTTACTGTAATCAATCTATGTAAATTACAACTTTGAACATTACAGGCAGTCAAAACAGAGGAACAAGTAAACTTAAGACAGTCTAACCTAACAATAGTTTAGTCATGCATATCCGTTTTGTTCCCCAAGTTTCCAACATTTTTCATAAACCAGTCCATTCTTGTACATAAAGAATATTTCTCAGAGATACATTTCATGAAGTTAAATTTGAGCTTAGTTATAGTGCGAAAGTTAGACTAATGACATCCTCGTTTGTATGTTTTCAAGACAACGAAACAGTCTTTCAAAAACTAATGCTTATATCCACTGAACACTAACTGAAAATTCATTTTCTACTTACAAAATAGTACAGATACACATTTAATCGGTTAGTAGGATCAGCAGTAAATTGTATTCCATCCCTCAATACTTTGTCAACCAAATATTTCAGCCAATGTAAGGTTCATAAATAATTTGGACATTGGTAAGACAAAGATTTGGTAGTCCATGATATTTGCTTAGGATAAAACCCTGATATCATTTGGTGTTTTATTACAGTTAAAGGCATTTATTGCTGAACTCATTTAGTGTATTATCTGTTTACGGTCCTATATTAATTTTAAGTTATGAGTTTATTCTTAAATATTAGTAAATATGTCACCAATAGCACACGTGGAGGATTACATATACATAAACACGATTCATTCAAACTTTCTGTATTAGATAAGTGATAGCAATAAACCTTTGACTTAACTTTCGCATCATCCCTAATCATTCACGCTTCTATGTGAGATCTAAGCAGCAGATTTCAAACTGTCGATCCAACTACTACTCTAATCACCGGGTCAATCCTTGGACGTTGTGTATTTTCTCCATCGGAAAATCATATAAGTTATTTACACTGTTGAATAATGCTACTCTAAGTAAGAGAAGGGCAGAGATCCATGTCTTGCTTTACCATTTTTAAATGTAATTCATTGGTGCATACATAGTGCTCCAGGACTGACCTGCGACAACAACTGAACTAAGGATAGGGAGTGAAGTAGTCGAACGCGTTGATAACACTCATCTTGGAAGTTTAATCAACCCTAATAGGCTGGTGTCTGACGATGGCAAATCAATTAATGAGGTGAATCTTCATCCACTGAGGTGGTTGTGCCACGTGTTGCGTATGCCTAAACACCGAATACCACGACGCGCAATGCTTACTAGTGTTGGAGACGACTGGAAGAAGGTTAGGGGCGGTCAATCTAAAATATGGCATCAGTCCTTGAGGTCACTTCTAGTGTGAGTCATATTGGTAGATGCAGACTACCTGATTGGGGTCCGCGTGACTATCGTAACCAATGGTTAGAGACCTTGGGTAAAATGGCTCAGAATCGATCACAATGGCGTGGGTGTATGCACTCTGTCTTCCCTTAAACTATGAGATTAAAACCGCTTCATTTTTTTCCTATCAGCTAATTCTTCCTTCCTGTACTATGTCTTCATACGCAATCTTTCTTTTATATATTACCACCACTGAATTAACTACTTTAGGAGTTCTGTGTTCCTTTTGTTGTGCTAATGAGGTATGGCAACTTGGACCGATGCACATGTGTGCCTGGTCCTACTTTGTGGCTGACTGACTGAGTAGTGTCTATAAACATATTTCTAAAGTTTACTTAAAAAGAATTTTACGAAACGTGGTTGTATAACACTAATGACAACAATCGTGGATTCTCGTTTAAATAATTAATCTTTTGCAAAAATTGAACGATGTGACATATATCAGATTCCTTGATATCTAGATTGTATTGTACATAAAATCTCTCAATTAATATCACTAGAGATGAGTGGTTGTTTTTTATGTTTCAGTTATTGTTAAATCCAAGTGAGTAAGAATCAGTTGTTTGTCGTATTTGCCACAAGTCAACTAGTTGATGGTGAAGATGTCGAAGGTGGATTTATATTTGATATATTAGTATTTAATGATCTGTCAGCTTGGGTTAATGTTACTGTTTGTTGCGAATTAGTTGAACTTCCAGTTGACGAGGAAACACTTGGGATAACAGATGTATCTGACCGGGTCTGACCTGAGTAATTAGGTGAAGTTGATGTACACACTGATACTGGAACTGATGAAGTAACCGGAGTTGTAATCTTATCATCTGCTAATTTATGACTTATTGAGGGTTGGAGTGATATATAGTGACTCTGAATATTAGAGTCCGGGGATAGGTTCATGAGATTAGAGAAACTTGAATTAGTCGGTTGTAATATATTATTTTGTCTCGCTACATTGATATTTTGAAGTTGAGCTAAATGAGTTTGCAAACTTGTAGTGTCTATAATGCTACCATTTGGGCTATGACCCAATGACCCTACAATACTTGATGTTCCTCCAGCAACATCGTCGTATATGACATGCGGATGCTGCATTCGTATTAAATACTGTGGAAATGAGTGAATTTCACCCTGTCCAAAATGACGTACCGGAGTTTGTGGTGAGTATCCATAATTGTTCACCACGTCACGATTAAGATTTGGTGAAGGAGTATTAAGTGATGGAGCTCGAATGTATGTTGGTGTGAAACTAACAAACTTATTTGTGTCATCAATCATAGGAAATGTTGTTAGATTGGTATTCTCCATGTCTAAAGTCTGAGGTTGCATTAATCCGCCAAATTGTTGTTGTGGTATGCTATTGTTTCTCAGGTTTTGCATTCCATTCTTTCTGAAAGTACCTGGTAATGAATTTGTCGGAATGTAGTTTGTAGGCGAATTCTCCTTATATGATGTACCATTGTAGAGTAAAGGAATTTTTTGTATAGCAGATAAGCTGTATGACGAATTAAGCACACCATGATCTGAGCCATTTATTCTAACATGATTCATATGCGGAGTCAAAGTTGCTCGAGGTAGAATTGGTGTCGTCATAATTAATGAACCTTTCCTCATTTCATCGGGTAAGCAAAGACAAGCAGCTAGGCAACTTGTTTTACTTGATCCTTCTTGTGATGCGTCTGAAGTACAGAAAAATAAGGAAATACAAGGAGGAGAGAATAGTATAGACTAAAACAATTCACTTACTAGTTGGAACAGAATGTAAACTTAATGGTTAAGTTTCGTGGCCCACTTAGTAAAGAGTCGTGTTAGTAGCTTGATGCCTACTAGTTCAAATCATACTGTAAATGAGGTTTAATTTTGAGTAAAGTTTTTATTATCAGAATGGGTTTTATGGAGAGTTTTAGGAATTTCACAGGTTGAAATCATGAGTCGATTGAAGCTAGACTACCATGGGAAAGGTGGAAGCACTGAACGGCTGTTTCGTCCTAGTATGCTTAAGTGCTCGCGTGTGAAGCCAGTAGGTCTTGGGTTCGAATCCCGCGTGGTGCGGGATCGTGGACTCGCACTGTTGAGGAGTCCTATACTAGGAGGAAACGGCCGTCCAGTGCTTCCAGGTTTCCCATGGTGGTCTAGCTTCAATCGACTCATGATTTCAACCTGTGAAATTTCTAAAGTTTTTATCTCTGTGTATACATATACAGATAATTATATTAGCTTTAAATTCACTGGTGTAAGGAAACAACGATTTGAGTATTAATATCTCATTTTCTCTATAGTTTTTCTATTATAACCAATATGTCCAGTGCACAAGTATGTTTCTTTATTATAATTACTGATTTTCTTGACTAATTTGATTAATTTTCGCATATTATGTAGATTCACCGTTTTTGAACATATCGATTAATTATACTCATAGGAAATAAATGATCATTATCTAAAGTAAGACTTCATGACTTATTGAGAGAATGTCGATTTAGCCTAAGCTTAATAATAACTCATAGACTATATTTATTTGATAGTAATTATAAAGGTCTAAACGAATAACTAATCAAGATAAATATTGAACTAGTTATGTTTTTGTTAAAGGTATATGGAAAGATGTATTTAATTCCGGATTATACTTAAAAAGTAAATTCTGAAGAAAAGTCCAGAAAATATAAATTAACGTAGTAAATATGAAAATTGACAATTCCATTTTCTAGTTGATAGCTTACCAATATAGGAACGAAATAGTAAACATCGAATGCAGAATCCCAAATTGATAAGAATTGATAAAATCAATATCGATAGTATAGTAAATAATACTTCCGGTTTTCTTATATAAGATGCTATCGAGAGAAAAAACAACAATACAGTATTGTATTATAATCAAATGAAACAGAATTAGTATGATATTAAATTGATATTCATTCCATTATTTAATCTTCAGTTAACAGACGATGTCATGAGATAATCCCATGAACAATCCTTCCAACATCCAAATATAAACGAAACACTTACATCGAGTTAATAGCTTCACTAACAAATTCTATTAATGTTGTAATCCAAACATTCACAAATATCACTCTTAATAGATTCTCAGCCTCGATGTTCGAAACAGATATATGAGACGATATGATTGGGGTGATGTGAACTGCAAATGGGTAATATAATCAAAAAATCGCTGTACTTGTTGATCCGAAAGTAGACTCTGGAAACGACCCTTTGATTAGTCAAAGGGAATAACAGTTGTTTTAAGTTCCATATGTTCATCAATTGTAGGAATGTTGTCCCTGCTCTATCAATCCTTGCATTTACGTCTGCACCAGATCCTCCACGTTTATCGATGATACTGTCCAGGTACATGAAAGTTTCCACTTCTTCCAGAGCTCCT